GGGGGGGGGGGGGGGTTGTATCTTTTGGTAGCCCTTTTCAGAACCTATAATTGATTTTAAGTTGTATATATTAACCTGTTACCATTTTGGTGATTAGACTTTTTTATGCTTGATAACAAGCTATTCCATACTACTCTGAGTGAAAATGCTGTACAACTTTAGGGGAAAAGAGTTATCTTAAAACATCCTAAGATTCAAATGGGTACTATCTTGAAAGTTGATTCCCGGGGAAGTTTAGTGGTCCAAGTACCAGCCCTCATGTTAAAATCGGACCAATTCTAACAGAGAAAAAAAGATCTCTTTCCATCTGCCTAAGGCAGAGTTACCCGGTACTTGTGTTGGTAGGAGGTAGTAGCAGGTACCCAGTAGAATAGTCGAAATGCGCATGGCCGGACATTGTCATTGTTTTGGAAAAAAAAGAAGGGGAGTACCAGCCCTCATATTTCTTCTATGTTCTGCTTACTGTTTTATTGTTGAGCCTCCCGTATATGAATGCTTTCCCAAACCAAGCAATTTGATTTCCTCCTCCCTATGATAGTATGACTGATATGGAGGGAGGAAAAAAGAAAAATTGTTGGATGCTGACTGTCTACGCTCATCTTATGATGTTTTCTTCTGTACTATCGATGCAGAAAGTGTACATGTTTTTTCGAGGGCACAAGTAATGCACGAGTTTGTGGCTCAAGATCTCAGCGTCCTAGTAACAATTCTTTTCCGGAGGAAGCTAAACATATGCCTTTATCTCTTCATTATGGTTTTGGCTTAGTTATGACTTGCGTGTTACAGTTGCATGTTTTCTAGGTTTAGTTGATATTTTTGCTTCATTCAAGCATGTTCCTTTTCATTGTCATTTCTGTATGTATTCGCAGTTTGACCTTTGATTAGACTATCGCATTATTTTACCTATAATCATAGCTGCTTTGGGACTCAGCTTGAATCGAATATGTATATTTGGTTCGGATAATACGAGGATTGAGTCAATATCATGATATGTGCTGAAGAAACTGGGGACGTCCATCACAGTAACTTGACTGTTTTCTAAGTCTGGGTGAGGCAATGTTTTGATTTAGAATATAACTATTACAAGTGAAAAATGTAAATCTCTAGTTAAACTTTAATTTTTTTTTAAGTGAGCAGACAAATTTAATTTTGTTAAGCCCTTATTGCCATGAGGACCAATAGAAGGTGCAGAAATTCCTATATATCAAATGGATCTTGGTGTTATAAAGACAGATTGAGCAGGGTTTCGACCATGTTAAATTTGAGTGTCTTACGGCCAAGTATGCAAGTAAATCAGATTTGACCAGATTAGTAAAAAAATAAATATTCCTTTTTTTGTTTTTTTTTGCTTTGCAAAGTGCTTTTGGGTTATTGTGCTACCAAATATATTGAGCACATAACTTCAAATATTTCTTATAAGAGATTCTCAGAAGTATATCAACCAACCGTCCCAGAGCTTCAAAAGTTATTGGTAATTAATTAAAAGCTTGTAATTAGGAGCTGGCCAACATGATTCGGTAAATGAAATTCGCTGTACGCTGCAAAGTCTCAAATTCTGAGTAGACGTGGACATGTTTAAATCCATATCTTGACCCAAATAAGAAGCTTGCTAAAATAGGATATAGGGAAGCAATTATATATGGGGAGAAATTCAAAAATAGTTAGATTTATAAGTAGTTATACAAAAATAGTTACAGTTTCAAAAGTAATCAAAATTTAGCCACAACGAAAATATTATTCAAAATCAGGAAAATACTCCAGCATAATATACTGGAGTTCCAGCATAAGTATACTGGAATTCCAACATATATAATGGAGTTCCAGCATAAGTATACTGGAACTCCAGCATAATATATTAGAGTTTCGGTATAATATACCGCTCCAGTATAATATGCTAGAAATTCATACACAGGTGCTCCAATCTCCAGTATATTATGCTGGAACTTTCCGCGTGTTGGAGTTCCAGAATAATATGCTGGAAGTTCATACACAGGTGCACCGATCTCCAGTATATTATGCTGGACCGATCCTTGTTGCAGCAAAATAGTGGCTATTTTCAATGACTTTGCAAACACTGCTATTTTTGAATGATCAGTTCGAAAACTGGCTAGCCCGTGCTATTGTAACTTATATATGTGGTGCTAAGAGCCTAAATTTAGAATCCTGAATATAGCGAATCTAAAATTAGAACTTTTTTTTTTTTTTTTTGGAAATAACAAATCTAGCCAGAGAAAAGGCCGGGTTTAGCATATTCCATTTTCCATTTTTATTCATAGTTCGTGACTAATTTTTCCTGAATTAATGTGCTATTCCTCTCTCTCTCTTCATTTTATCAGTGAATTTCTTGTATTTATCGCACTCACAAGAATGTCAAAATTGAAGAGTGTTGAACTCATGCAGCATACCTAAATCAGTTAACAAGAGTTTAGTTAGGTTTGAATTGCTTCATATCATCCTGTCATTAATTGTATTTAATGTTTTGTAATATACGGATAATAAGTTTTTAGACCGATATGTATTTTTTCAATAAAATTGATTAAATTTGAATTGACTGCCTAATAATTTCTGATTAAGCATACTAAGGCCTCATTTGTTTTTTTTAAGACTAGTTTCAGGGTACGCGCTTTGCGACTGTACCCATATTAATAAGTATATATATATTTTTAAATTACATAAATAATATTAGATAATGTGTTTGAATTACAATATAAAATTATAATAAAAAATACCTTAAAGTGATGAATATTTTTCTTATTTATTTAACTCAATAAATGAAGAAATCATGTTTCACAGAAGTTATGAGATGTCTTATCAAGATTTATTAGAACTTATGTTGGAATGTCTTATAATTTTTTTCTTCTTCAGTAATCTAATACTGAAAACAAAACATCAAATTATTTCTCTCACGACTCTCAAATAACATAAGTTGAAAACTGAATCTTATGCTTTTTAACCCTCTACCTCCTAAAAAAATTGATAATGACAATGTAAAATTGAAAAAAAGACGAATATTGAGATAATATTTATAAAACATAAATTAATATAAAAATAATATAGTAAAACGTTGTCATTTGTCAGATGAGCAAAAAAATGATAATTTATTTAAGATATATTTTGTCTTCTACTATTTTATTCTTATTATTTTAAATTTGTGTTTGTACCAGTTTAACTATTTATACTATACTATAATTGATTTGGCTCTATTTTCTGATTTTTTTCACCGCGAATGCTCTTCTTATGAAAATAAATTTATGTACCTTAATAGTTTTGTCAACTTGACAAATAATTAATTTATTTATATGATGAATTTGAAAAATAAAATAAAATTGGTTGTTGTTGCTAATTATTTAATTCAAAGATTCAATTATTTTTTCTATTAAAGGAAATAATTTAGTTTTTGTTAATTCAAAGCATTAATGTTAGTTTTTATTATTTTCATGAAATTTACTTTAAAACAAACTAACGTTATGAGTTATTAACTTTTTCTTTGTTGAAACAACTTAATATTTTATTTTATATAAATTATTTTTCATTTAAACTATGTAACATAACTATAAGTTACTTTACCTAATAGTATCTACTTATATTTTTATAAAGTCAAAAGAAATTAAGCTGCAATTTTTTCTTTTCTAATTACTCATACGATTTAGTTCATCACGTTTAAAACCTATGTAGATACATTCATTAATTGCAAATTTATAATTAAAAAACATGCTAAGACAAGTGAGTTATCACTTGAATAACAAACCAAATAAAGCAAGCTATGTTATCTTAGTCAACATGTATAATATATATTTGAATTATCTCCATCTTTTACAAAAGTCAAACTACAAAAGGATATATCTATATATCTATCTATCTATTTATACTATATTAAAAGCACGAAAGCCCTTAACAAAATGTCGTTCGTTATTTTTACCCTTTAAAAATTGATTTCACACTAGACAAAATAGTCATTTAATTATTCTTCCTAATATTTAGATCTTTGAAATCAAGTAAAATTTTAATATTAAAATCTTTCCTTATTTGAATTATATAAAGATTCCTAATATTTAGGACTTCAAAGTCCAATAAAATTTAGCTATGTAATTATAGTATCTACGATACTAAACGTTTTATTTGTCAAACAAACTGTTAGTATTAAATAACGTGAATGAAATAGTGGAGGTGCTAATTTCTTGATAGCATAAAGCAATTGCTAATTGAGGTCAAAATAAGTACAATACACAAATATAGATAGTTAAGTATCACGGTATCAATTAATGATGAATAATTTATTCAATGGTCAATTTCACATTTCTATATTATATGTGAACTACCTTTCACTTAAATACTATTTTTTTTGTTCATCTTTTTATATCTCTATCTATCTATCTAAATATTAGGACTTCTTATATAATTCATATAATGAAATCTTTTTATACTATATTAAAAACACGAACACCCTTAGCGAAAAGTCGGTCGCCTTTTTTACCCTTTAAAATAGAGTTTACATTGGACAAATTAGTAATTCTAAAATCTTATAATTTTAGTTATTAAATATTTCATTATATGAATTATATAAGAAGTCCTAATATTTAGGACTTTAAAATAAAAAATTTAAAAAGCTATAAAAAAAAGGCTTTGAATTGGGTGTTAAAACTATTCTAAAATTTTTGAGGAGCTAATATTTAGGGCGTTGAGTTGTATTTTAGAAACGTTACTCATTCTATTGTAGCATAAATATATGAGTAGTTCCTCATAATTGAGTACTAGCTTTCAAAGAATTGGAAAATCTTAACCCTTGATTTAAAAAAGTAAAAAAACAAGGAAAGAGCTCGCTTTGAAAGTTACGTTGAATTGGATATTCCAATTATTCTAAAAAATATTATTTTTTCTTGTACTCTAACATATAAGAGTAGTTCCTACTAACAAATAATGATAGCACCGAATTTACATTGGAATGGAAGATGTTAACGTTTGATCTTAATTAGTGTTAGGCTAAAAAATTCAGTATAAAAATAATTTGTTCGTTTCAGTAATTTTATTAATAGCAACAAAAATATTAAAAATGTATTTAAATAATTTAGAAAAGAAAAGACTTAGAATTTATAAATATTTACTCAATATACTACAAACAAAATATTAAAAAATAAATTTAGATTTTATAGCAAATCTATGAAAGATTTTTATTTTAATATGATTTATAAAATATTTTATTAATGACAATTAAACTCAAATTTATATATGCACAACCTATCTGATTATGACAAAACACTAACTTTCAACACGTAATGCTTATGAATTTTTTTGACCTTTCCCTAAGTGAATTCGAGCTTAGAAAGTTCTACCATTAAATATTTTGTATATGTTATAAAATAAAGACTATAAAGTAAAGACAAGTATAGAGAGAAACTGATATATTATTCGAATTCAAACTGATGTACATAATGAACTAAAATATCTTCTATTTATAGAAGAAATGAAGCTGCTGTGTAAGCTGCTACTATACCAGATATGGATAATCTTCTACTGAGAGTAATGTTTATCCATAACGGAGTACTGAAAGGATAAGCTTATTATACCCGATATGGATAATCTTCTACCGGTGGTAATGTTTATCCATAACTGGGTACTGAAAGGATAAGCTTATTATACCCGGTATGGATAATCTTCTACCGGAAATAATATTTATCCATAACTGGGTACT